AAAACATTTAAAAACCGTACAAGCTGCATGAGGCATTTTAGGAAATTTCTACAAGTAGAAAGAAGAGAGAGGATGGTCCTCAGAAGCAGTAACGATTAGTAATGTAGCCCACTCCCTCCATTCTTCCCCTTCGTTTTTCTGGGTTTGGTGTGCAATTCCCAGCTCCCTACTCCTGGTAAGGGACGGGGTGCAAGAAGGGGTTAGGTATGGGGAGGAGCAGGGATGTTACTGGAGAGACAGAGGTGTTTGGTGGCCCCAGAGGCTCTCCCCACCTGCTTGCTGTCCCCCTGCAGCTCAACCAGAACCTCAACGATGTGCTGGTTAGCCTGGAGAAGCAGCACGGGAGCAACACGTTCACAGTCAAGGCCCAGCCCAGGTGCGTGTAGCCCAGCACTGTCTGGCCGTCTGGCTGAGGGTGGGGTGGAGGGAGGTGTGGTCTGGGGCAGGGTCCTGGGGCAGAGCTTGCTCATTCCTGGAAGACCAGGGCAGGGCTGTGTCTGCCCCGCCCTGGGGGTTTGGCCTCTCTGTGCTCAGGGGGACAGGTTAGGGCACCCCACATTCCTCTGGTGTGTGGCATCAGAGAAGGAGCACTCCTGGACAGTCTGAGCGTCACCTGACACCTGAGCCTGGGCCTGGGCCTGGGCCTGACTTCCCTTCCTGTGGAGCCCAGCAGCCAGGGTGCCTGCGAAGCCTTGGAGGTGGGGCCCCGGGACTCGAAGCTTCCGTGCTGGTGCGGAGCCACCTGGAAGGGGAGCCTTCCTCCCCCAGCAGGGGCGTAGTGCCACCTTTTCCTTTCCTTGCTCCTGGGAAAGCCCAAGTCCCTGGATGGTGGCATCCTGGGCACACACAAAATCATCCTTGTTCCTGTCCTCGTCCTGGTCTGGCCTCTCAGGGTCCCCTCCAGCTGCGAGGAGATTCCTGCTTCCTGAGGGGAAACCGTGAGGGAGGAGGGAAGTGCCTTGCCCTCTGGCTGCGGGTCAAGGGAAATGATAGCCCATCTGGGATTTCCCTTCCGTTTTGGTTTGCACCTGTGACAGCACAGCCCACAGGGTATGGATGGACCTCAGCTTCCTCTCTGTGAAACGGGGAACATTTATCTGCGTCTTGGGGCAACTGGGGGGCCATGGAGGACTAAGGAGTTATTCAGGGAATGTTGCTCTTCCTCTTCTCTCTGAAAATGAACCAGAATGTGTGTGACTGAGAGAAAGGAGCCCACAGGAGGCCCTGAGGCCAAGGGGTGAGCAGGGGGCAGGGTAGGGGTGGGGAATCAAGGCCAGGTCCCTGCAGGGAGGAAGGGTCTCTCCCTGTGCTGGGCCTACAGGTAAGATAGGAGGGTGGTGAATGGAGGCCACCTGGGCAGTGCAGCGGCTGGACCCAGTCTTCCTGTGGGAGAAGGCTGGTGTGAGCGGATGGGGAGGGGAATGGAGGGGATGGGGGGAGTGGAGCTCTGTGAACCTCCTTCACTGCAAGGTGGGCCATTTTGCAGCCTGGTTGCCTCCTCTCAGAGGCCTCCCAGCGGCCAGCTGCACCCCCCTCCAGGCACTGTGGGCCCCCAGAGCCCCCGTGTGCTGAACCACAGGCAGGGTGGGTGGCCAGCAGTCTCCCTCAGCTGGTCAGCCCTGGTTCGGGGCTGCACCCTCTCACTTTGTCAGCTCTGTTCCAAGGCGCCTGGCCGCATGCCCAGGTCAGTGGGGTTCCCGGGACTGGGCGATGGGGGTTAGGGTTAGGGCAGGGTCAGGCCCTCTTCATGGCCTTTGAGCTTTAGGGGAGGCTTTGCCCCTTGGCACCCCTCTGAGCAGAGGGGTTGCTGATGAGGAAAGGGAGCAGGCCAGCCTCAAATTGGGCGTTTCCCCAAAATGAAGGCCTCTGCGTCCCGTCCGTTCCCACAGAAAGAAAACTAAACTGCTCTCCCGGCTGCTCAGAAAGAAGAACAGGTACCGGCACCGAGTGCTGCATTGTGAGGGTGTCTGGGGCTGGCACCTGGCCGGCCGACCCCTGTGCATGCGCCTAGCATCCTGCTCCGAGGGTGCCACTAACCCCTAACCTGTGTCCCCTGTTTGGTGCTGCGGGCAGGTCTGCTGTGGGAGGGAGCCGGCGGGGCAGCAGGGCTGTGCTGTGGCCTGTGTGTGTGTGTCGTGGGGTCGGAGGGCTCAGGGGCTATCCGGTGGGAATGAGGAGGGCAGACAGCCTGAACTCGGTTGAGTGGGTTCCTCTGTGTGCCACAGCACGTCCACCTGGCTGTGGCCCAGACCAGGAGGTTAACGGGAGGAATGTAGCCAGAAAGGAGCCTCGGCGAGAGGGGAAGGGGAAGGGGGTCTTGTAGCACAGTGGTGGGTTTTAAAATCTGTGTGTGTGTGTGTGTGTGTGTGTGTGTGTGTGTATACTATGTTTATATGTATGCTTTAAGGAGGCAAATACATTCCCACGAAACACAAATTCAGTAGAGATGAGAAGGGACCACGATGTCTGTCCCATCATCTCAACACCATCCTCCAGCCCCACCCCACCCCCCAGGTGATGTGGTCAGTAGCTTCTTTGGATCCTTCTAGAACTGCCTTGTCCAACACTTGCCCTGGGAGGCTGGTGAGCACTTGAAATGTGGCCAGTGTGACTGAGCAGTTGAACTTTTAGTTTCACTTAATGTAAATATAACCTTCAACAGCCATCTGCGGCCGGTGGCTAGTCTTTATCGGTACCGTCCCATGGTTTCCTTATGCAAGAACAAACGTACATTTTCATTTTCTGCCCCCTTGCCCCCAAGTGGTGCTCATGTGAGAGACCGCAGCCTCTCACCCTTGGATGCCACTCTGTGGCCCTCTGCCCTAAAGGGCCTGTAGGCGCAAAGGTGTGGATGGTGACCGCGGTGTGGGTGGGAGCATGGGCCCTGTGAGTCGGGCAGTGGTCGGTGTCCTGGTGTGAGTGGGTGGACTGGCGGGGAGGCCGGCCGGGGCCTTTGGGGGCTGGCTGAGGAGGGGGGCCCAGCTGGGCACAGGGGCTGCTGCAGGACGTGTGGGATGAGACTCATTCGCCTCTAGGATGTTTGGCTTTCTCGTGCTGTGGAGCTCGGCTCCCTGGTGGAGCCCAGCGGTGGCCTGTGGGTGGCTTCCCTGAGGACCGAAGACCTCCAGCTTGGAGTTCCTCCCCGGGCCGTCACTGTCTCCAAGGCAGGCCCTGTGCCCACACCCCTTCGTTTCCACCCATTCTGAATCACGCGTACATGAACTTCTCACCTGTAAGCACGGGGACACACACGTGGACATCGCATTTTCATGGTGAATCTATGTGAACACACACACATACACGCTCTCCAATTCACATGTTAACAGACACATGCTCATACGCGCATGCACATGCATTTCCACACGGATCCGTGCACACATCCCATCACAGGCACACCTGTGCATTTGCACATTCCCCTTTGTACGCAGTGACTTCCCTCCATTGAGCTTTCTCCCCGTCTCGCCTCCACAGTGACAACGCCCCTGCAAAAGGGGACAAGAGCCCTTCGCCTCCTCCAGATGGCTCCCCGGCCGCCCCGGAGATCAGAGTCAACCATGAGCCTGAGCCGCCTAGCTCAGCAGCAGCAGGGGCCGCCCTCCCCAAGTCCCCGTCTCAGGTAGGCACCGTGCCCCCTCCCCTGCTCCCTCTTCTTCCTGCTTCTCTCTCCTTCCCAGTCCTCTCCCCAACACCGGCCTGGGCTCCCCTCAGCGGCCCTGCCTTCTCCTGGGAACGCCTGTGACCATGTGTCTCCCTCTGCTCCCCCACAGCACCCTCTCCTTCCCTCTTTCCCTGACCCTTGGGGCTGCTGACCTCCTCATCTTCCTTCCCCCCCCATAAGGGGCTTGGGGCCCTCAGCCCCAGGGCATCCAGATCTGCAGAGGCCATTGCTTTCTGTCCTCCTCACCTTCTCTCTTGGCATGAGGCCATGCAGGACCTTCACAGGGTCAGCGAGGGAAAGGGCTCGGGGAGGGGAGCATGAGGTAGCCAAGGGGCAAAGGCCCTGGGCTTCCAGAAGCCTCCCCCAAGAAGCTTGGCCCCCACTCCTACCCTCACCAGGTTCTTCCAGCTTTCTGCCATGTCCCCAGGAGCTGGCCTGTGGCCCCGTCTGAACTGATAGGCTTTCCCAGCTGTCAGCTCCTGGCAGCAGCCTTCTTGGTGGTTGGCCATGACCTGCCCCACAGCTGATTAGACGTGAAGAGTGTGACAAGAGCCCACACTTGAATAGCACTTGCTCTGGGCCCAGCACTATGCCACCACTTCCCACATTTTCATTCATTAAACCGTCACAGCCACCCTGTGAGGCAGATGCCCACCCCACCTCAACAAGTGAGGAAACCAAGGCTGGGGGGCGGGGCATGGTTCCTGACTTGCTGGAGGCCCTCCATGGGCAGGTGTGTGGCCATCCTGCCTGGCCCTCTGCTGGGCCCTGGCTCCTGCTCCGTGCTGACCTCCACAGGTGACAGACAAGAGAGCATGGGCCCCTCCTGCAGGAGATGCAGAGAGGGTCCTGAAAGGACAGAGAGCCCAGGTCATAGCTATTTCTCAGCGACAGCTTCTCTCCTCAGTGTCTCACCCAGGTGGGTGACAGCCCAGACCTGCAGCCCCCTCCCCGCCCTGCCCCCGGGCTCTCCCTTCTTTCTCCTCTTCTTTTCTGTTCCCTCCCTGTCTCTCTCCTTTCACTTCTTCCCCCTCCTGTCCCCTTCTCTGTCATCCACTCTGTCTCTGCACAGCATTTCTGGACCTCCTGCCTCAGTCTCCCTCTAGGGGTGGCCCTGTGGTCCTGCGCCTCAGGCAGCTGTGACTCTTCTTGTCTTCCTCAGTTGCCTGGGTGGGGCCAGGGCCTGGGGTGTGACTAACCATGGCTTTGTCTCTGTCTGTCCCCCCTCCCCCACCCCCACGCTCTGCTGTGCCTCGCTGTGCGGCCCCTCACCTGCTGCCGACCCACAGCTCCGGAAAGGGCCACCAGTCCCTCCACCTCCCAAACATACCCCGTCCAAGGAGGTCAAGCAGGAGCAGATCCTCAGCCTGTTTGATGACACGTTTGTCCCTGAGATCAGCGTGACCACCCCCTCCCAGGTCAGCCGCGGCCACCGCGGCCCAGCTCTCTCTTACTCTCTCGGGACATGCATGGCCTTCTTCCTTCATCCCACGCCCTGCGCCTCTGCCTCAAGAGCCAGAATCTGGCCTGAGAGGTTGGCCCAGAGCCTCCCCCTTGCTCATTCATCCACCCCTCCGTTCATCCTCCCCCATCCATTTCTGAGCATGGACTGTGGCTAGATGCAGGGACACAGGCGGGTGGTCCTCGGGCAGCCGGTCAGCTTGGTAGTGGCCTCATGCTTCCACTGGTGCGATGGCTGAAGAGGCATCAGCAGGGAGGATCCCGGCCAGTCCAGGAAAGGCCTCCTGGAGCAGGTGGCATTTGCCAGGTGGCTGCAAGTAGACACATTGCTTTAGCCAGAGTCAACAGTGTGTGTGTACGTCAGGAGGGGTAGGACATGGGCTCAGGAGGTCAGAGTTCAGTGCGTGCAGAGTGCAGCAGTGGGGCAGTGAGAGGAAGCAGGGGGGAACACAGTTGGGAAGGCCCTGGAAAGTCTGGCCAAGGCACATAGACTGTAGCTCCCAGACATGCCGACTGGCCTTAGGAGTGGGACAGTGCTTGGGCCACGGAGCAGGGCTGCTGCTCGGAAGTGTCCTGAGAAGGCATGTAATGCTCATCCATAGGTGGACAGAAGGAGGGCTGAGCAGGAAGGTTACTGCGGGGGCACAGACGTGGGCTGTACAAGGTCAGATGGGCTCACAGAGGCCACCGTGTGCTCAGCTCTCCAAGCCTGCCCTCCAGGCCTCGAAGCCATGGCCCTTCCCACTACCTACGGCCTCGCCTGTGGTGCAGGCTTGCTGATCCCAGGCTGTGGCTGGCCCGTGCTGGAGGGCTGCCCTAGAACTACTCTGCCCAGGGCCTCTGGTTGCTGCCTCCTGCCCGCTCCTTTGCACAAGCTCAGAGGCCTGGGGTTGGGGGGCGGGGGAGGCAGTGCAGGGCAGAGGGTGAGTGTGGAAGGAGAGGCGGTTGGGAACCGAGGATGGTGATCTCTGCTAAGAGTGGCCTAAGGCTGAGTGGGCTTCAAGCTGGGACAGAGTTCTCTGAGTTAGAAATAGGAACTTCCAGTATGGGGTGGCTGGGTGGGCAGGTGGGTGATTTGCTGGCTCGGGCTTGGCAGGCCTGGGAGCCCCTGTCTAGAAGGTGACCAAGGCCGGTTCAGGGGCTCCTGAGAGGAGAGGACACCAGGTGGCATGACCTCTGGGACAGCTCGCTGCTGGAGCGCTCAGCAGCCTGAGTAGGCCTCCACCCTAGAGGTGCACATGAGGGACACGGGGTCACGCAGAGCGCTAGGAAACGCTCAGTAGGGGATGGTGCCAGCCCCTTATTGACACGACCTTGTTGGGTTTTCACCTGAGCTCTTAGGAGGGGGTTGTTGCCCCCGTTCAGCAGGCGAGGACCCTGTAGGCCTGCCCGGCAGCCACACCGCCCTCACTGAGCATGTTGGCCTCTCTGTGCTCACCGCATGCCTCCTTGCTACCCCCTCTGCCCACTCCAGGGAGCCAGGTCTCTGCCCGGAGGTGGGAAGCCTACACCATGGGTGCTGTTGCTGGGGGCTGGGGCAGGCTGTCTGTGATGCTGTGCTCACAGCCCTGGGCAGGGCTGAGGTGAATAGCCTGCATCCCTGCACCGGAGGACAGTTGTGGTCCTGCATGGTGGGTAGCTGGCTCGCTGGGAGGCAGGGAGGGAGGATGTGGTCTGCCCTTTGGTGCCTCTGTCCCTTTGGAGCACAAGAGGGCAGCTGTCTGGGCTTGAGTGACCTCTGAGAAGAAGCTGGTGGCAGGGCTACTTGGGGGAGAGAAACACTGCTACCAGCTGGCAGGGGTGGTGGGGCACCTACAGGCCATGCACCCACGGTGTCTTGAGCACTCACTCACTTAGAGAGGGCAGGGTCATGGGGACAGAGCAGTGGCCCCAACCCCAGCCTCATTAGACAGGGATCAACCTAGGGAAAGTCACTAGCTGGGGGTGGGCTTGGGGCAGGGGCTTGGGACTTGGGGCCCTGTGTCCAGGAAGTGAGACCACTCAGCCCGGGCTCTCCGAGGTCTGTGCCTTGTCCCCTGAGCTGTGGGACAGCTGGCACCTAGTGTTCTCAGAACTGAGAGTCTCAGGTCTCTGCTGACAGGCCGCAGCTCCGCTGTGAAGTCCCGTCCGGGGAGCCCGTTTCCCCAGGACCCAGGTCTTGGGTCCTTCTAGATGCAAGGCTTTAGGTGGACGTGGGCAGTCTCCTGGGGCCATGCCTGTTACCAGCACATTCCTGGGCTGCACTCAGGCCTGCTGAATGGGAGTCTCTGGGGGTGGGACCTGCGGTTGGAGTACAGGTGCCCCCAGTGTCGGGGAACCCACACCTAAGATTTGGCTCCCAGGCGGTGTGTGTTGGCTCAGCCCTGTCCTCACTCTGTGGAGCTGGCGGGTGGGTGGGTGTCACCACAGGTGAGCTGTGTGGGGCAGCGAGGGGGGCCTGTCCTAGGGAGGGCGGTGGACTGTGCTGCTTCTGGGGGGGCAAGGGTGAGGCTGGGAGAGCCTGTGGGTGCGGGGAGCAGAGAGGAGCATGCACCGGGAGCCCACGCGGTCTGCAGGACAAGACAGACCTCTGTCTGGGCTGGGCTGGTGGGTGGCTACCCCAGTAGGCCTGCTGCTGATGTCTGAGGGGGGTGGTGGGTGCGGTCCTGTGTGCGTGGAGCTCGTGCCAGAGTCGTGGTGGGGGCAGTGCTCCCACATGTGAGGCGGACGTGAGCGTGTGTGCCTGCCGTGAGCTCCCCGTGGAGTGCTCCCAGCCTGTCACTAACTGCCTTCCTCCTCTGCCACTGCTGCCAAGTTTGAGGCCCCGGGGCCTTTCTCGGAGCAGGCCAGTCTGCTGGACCTGGACTTTGACCCCCTCCCGCCTGTGGCGAGCCCCGTGAAGGCGCCCACACCCTCTGGTCAGGTTGGTCTGAGCCCGCCACCACCACCACCTGCGGACCTGCGGGTCTCTGGGGCGCCGGGCCGTGGGCTCATGTCTGGCCATGGGTGCCCATCTAAGACACCAGGCCTTTAGGGTCCTGGGGTCAACAGGCTTTCCTCCCACTCACTGCCCTTCCCCTGGTGCCCTGGCCCCCTATCGCCCCCTGGCCCTGCGCAAGAGGAGGGGAAGAGCAGACACGTGTCAGGGAGAGGGCCCTCGGGAGGAAGGTCAGCCAAACACTCACTTGGTAACTTGCGGCCTCGGTCAGCTTCCTGCCCCTCTCCTGGCAGCGGCTCTGTGTCTGGGCACTCCCTGGCAGGTGTCCAGGACTTGGCCCCCTGGAGACCCTGGAGCCTGGCTCCGTGCTGCCCTGAGCCCGTTGGGCTCCAGGGCCTTGGGGTGGGGGTCCCTGGGGACTGCTCGTCTGCCCCCTGTCACTAACCTTTGCACTAACTCTGTCCTTCTCCCCTTCTGCTGCGCCTAGTCAATTCCATGGGACCTCTGGGAGGTAAGCTGTGTTTGCTCTGTGCCCACCCCCAGGGGGAGCTGCTCCTCCCCGGCCCACCTTGCCTGGTCCTGCACCTGGCCTGCTCACAGGTGCACACACACGCACGCCCGGGCTGGTGCTCATGTGCGCAGGAGCTGGCCGTCACTGCCTGTCTCCAGGTGTCCCACTGCTTCCCCTCTGCCAGGCCCTGCGGGGAAGGGGCTCTTCGGTTTAGCCAGAGAAGGTCCTCTGTGGTTTGGCTCAGTCGTGGGGTCTGTGAGTGGCCCCGTAGGATGGATGTGGTGTCCTCCTGCTGGGCTGGGCCTGCGAGGCAGGGCAGCCTTGGGGTGGAGGGTCTTTGTCCTTGACAAGGTTTGTGTTTGTGGGGATCCTACAGGGCAGCGGCGTCGGGGAGACGTTGGGATAGAGGACAGGAGGAGGGTGGCTCGAGGGACAGGAGAAGCAGGGTGAGGCCAGGTGCCCTTATGCGAGCAGGCCTGCTGGGCAGGTGTCCTCATCACCTGCGGGCTCGGGCACGAGGCTCAGGGAGGGCGTGGGGCCGCACTACCACTATGCAGCTTCTGAAGGAGCAGGAGCTGCTGTGTGCGAGTGCTGGGAGCACTTCTCCCAGGAGCTTGAAGGCTCCGAATAGCCTTGCTGTGGAGGAGGCCAGAGGAAAGCCTGGCACGGGCAGCCGTTTTAGCGAGGGGTCTTTGGTGGGTGCTGAGCTGCGTGTGGCTCGTTTGCGCCTGCTCATCCCTTTGTCAGGAGTAGGAGCAAGGAGGTGGGAGTGGTTTTCCCTTCAGAGGGTCCACGTGTGTCCCTTGATGGGCCAGGCTGCCCTCCACAGGCACCCAGTCTCCCCTCTGCCAACGCTGGGCCGCTCATGACTCTCTTTTCTTGTCTTGTGCCCTTGCCCAACACCCCCTCCTCCCTGGTCTTCCACCCCTCCCGCCCTGCTCTCCCTGGTGGCCCATCACTAGCCCACAGAGAGTCCAGCTGGCAGCCTGCCTTCCGGGGAGCCCAGTGCTGCCGAGGGCACCTTTGCTGTGGCCTGGCCCAGCCACACGGCCGAGCCGGGGCCTGCCCAAGTAAGTGCCCATCTGCTAGCTCCCAGTTGTCCCCAGTCCCTGGGGGTGTAGCAGTGAGGAAGAGCCTGGAGGAGGAGGCACAGGATGGACAAGGCCACTGTGAGCCTGAGGGTGAGGTCAGGGCGGTGAACCAGGAGGCCCCTAGGATGGCTTACCACTCCTGCTCGCTGTGATTTAGGCCAGATTGGCCCCTCTCCCCCTTGCCAGCCCCACCCCAGCCTCCCAGCTTAGGCCTCCTGCAGTGGGAGGGAGGAGCGTTCAGAGCATCTCTCTGTTTGTGGCAGGTACTTTCCAGAATTTTCTCATTTAACTTTCACCCTAACCTAGACATTTCCTCCTTTTACAGATGAGGAAGTGGGGGCTAGAAAGCTTGAGTGATTGATTGTGCCCAGAGCTCGGAAGTGGCCGAGTGTGAGTGTTGGCCCAGGTCAGCCTGACTGAGGCTGGACAGTGTCCACTCTGCCTTGGCCAGGCCCCTCCCCGCCATGGTGCCCAACACTGTGCTGCCCCCTCCTTGGGGAGCAGGTGTCCAGGGCTGGGCAAAGGCTGCTCCAGCCTGCCCTGAGTTGTTTGGCCAGGGACAGGCACTTGTTGCTGTCCCCGATCGTGGGGGTCTCGTGGCTCAGCCAGCAGGCCAGGCAGGTGGGAAGAAGCTGAGGCCTGGCCAGGCCTTGGCCTTAGAGGACAGGGCCTGTGAGGGAAGGTCGGGGCGGCATCCAGGGGCCCGTGTGGCACGTCACTTGGCATCTCTGTGCTGCCAGCACCTTCTCCAGCAGCTTCCCGTGACAGGCACCCAGCCTCTCCTCCAGGAGCTCCCTGTACTACCCAGCTCTAGACACTGCTGCTGTCCATGGCCCTTTCCTTGTCCTGGTCACAGCATCCGTCCCGTGTCTGACCCCATGCCGGCATTTGTGTTGCAGCCAGCAGAGGCCTCCGAGGTGGCGGGTGGGACCCGACCTGCGGCTGGAGCCCAGGAGCCCGGGGAGACAGCAGCAAGTGAAGCAGCCTCCGTAAGACGACAGGGACCAAGACCCTGTCTTTTCTTTCCTGCTGTCTGCCCGCCCTTCCGCTTGTGGCTCCCTAGCCCTGTGTGTTCCCTGTGCTCCTTGCTCTGTGCTGGTCCAGGTCATAGTTCCCGTCGAGGAACCCGGAGGCAGACCAATCTGGCATCAGTCACAGAGACCCTCCCCTTCCCTTGCCCCTGTGGCCCCTGCCCTCTGGGACCCACTCCCCTACCACGCTGACTGTGCTTCCTCCCCTCAGAGCTCTCTCCCTGCCGTGGTGGTAGAGACCTTCTCAGCGACCGTGAATGGCACCGTGGAGGGCAGCGGTGGGGCAGGACGCTTGGATCTGCCCCCGGGGTTCATGTTCAAGGTACGCCCGGGCCAGTTTGACCCCACAGCCTCTGCTGCCATCTGAGCCGACGGTGCCCTGGCGGTGTGGTCACCCCCTTTTACAGATGAAGACCCTGAGCTGGGAGGCTATGTGGGTTTGCCCAGAGTTCCCCTGCCCCCACTCCCCCTGCTACCCAGTGGGCGGGGTGGCGTCTTGAGCTTTCAGGATCTCCTGTCAGCACGCTGAAGCCCCCACAAGGCCTGGTGCACTGTGCTAGGTTGCAGGGGGGAACCAAAGGCATCTGCGGGAAGGGGTGTTGAGCTGTTCCCCAACCTCTGCAGGTACAGGCCCAGCACGACTACGTGGCCACCGACACGGATGAGCTGCAGCTCAAGGCTGGTGATGTGGTACTGGTGATCCCCTTCCAGAACCCTGAGGAGCAGGTGAGGGCCCTGGCTGGCTGAGGCAGGAGTGGCCAGCAGGGGGCAGCAGAGACATGCCAGCTACAGACCTGCAGGCACAGCGCCGGCTGCTCTTCCCTCCTCCTGCTAGCTCCTTCTCTCTGTCTCTGTGCCCTTCTCCCCTGACTCGTTTTCCCCTCCCTTCACCTCCCCCACTCTCTCTCCCTTCCCTTTGGCCCCTTTCCTGGGCCATCACATCCCCTACCCCGGTCTTCTCTCTCTGTTTCCTCGGTCAGCTCTCCTTCTTCCTGGGCTCTGCCTTTCTCTCAGTTTTTTGCATCCAAGTGGCTTTCTTTCTCCCCTCCTCCCTCCCCTGCCCCTGTCCTCTATGGCCTCCTCTCTCCTGGGACAGGATCCCTGGCCACCCCTCTGTGAGCCCTCCTGCCCGGCAGTGAGCTGGCGAGGTGCCCACTCTGCAGCGTCACATTGGGCCGCCTCCTCCAGGCTGGCCTTGCCCTCTGCCCACAGGCACAGTGTGTGGGTTCCAGCAGGCCCCCCTGAACACCCTCAACTGTGTCCCCAGCTGTTTCCCAGGCCAGATACCTCCCAGACCCTCCCTCTGCTGTGGCTTCTCCTGGTTAGTTAATGTCACAGTGAGCTCCAGCCGAGACTGGGGCTGGCACAGAGCGGGGACTGCTCTCTACATTCTGACAGACTGCTCGGGTTCGGGCCAGGAGGTTTGAGTGCCGAGGGTTTCCTGGGCCCAGTGCTAAATCTAACAGCTTCCTTCAACCCTTGGGTCTCCACTGGTCTTCTGGGGGCCAGCCCTGGGCTAGGCGGGATTTTAAGTGGAGTCCTGGCCCCCAGCCCACAGTGGGGGTCATGTGGGTGGGTAGATGAGGCTCAAAAAGGGCATACATAGGCTCTGTGACAGGCAGGTAATGACGTAACAAAGGCCTAGGGAGGTCCCAGGCAGAGCAAGGTCAGTGATGGCATCTGCCATGGCTAGAGGTGTATGGCCCCTGTGGACCTAGGGATCGGGGTCTGGGGCTGGGAACACTGCCAGGACTTGGGTAGATGGTCCCTGTGAGGGGTCAGTATGAAAGCAAAGGCCAGGTTTGAGTCTGAGGACTTGATGGGGTGGCCTTGGGTCACTTGAGGTGCGTTTAACTGGTCAGTGCTCACCAGAAACTTCTGGTATTGTTTGTAGAAGTCTGGAAGGACACCCAATGTGCTCTGTGAGCACCAGACAGTGAGAAACTCCTTGGCCTGGGATTGAGGGATTTTAGACACATTCAGACCAGCACAGCAGTTAGGTTGCCTTTGTAGAGAGAGGAGAACTCACCCCAATGACAGTTAAATCCACATGCTGAAGGGCGGATGTCTCCTGGCTTGGGCAGGTTTGGGTCTGGGATGGCAAGGAATGCTGCCTGGAGGAGGCATTCTTTCAGGTTGGGTGTGACAGGCTAGAGGAAACGATCAGGCAGAGGAGGGGACATCCTCCCAGCAGATCCTAAGTGAGCCCCATGTCCTGTAGGGTTTGAGTGCCCTCCGTCCCCATCCCTGTGTGACCTGGGTGCCCTGTTTTGCTCTCAGGATGAAGGCTGGCTCATGGGCGTGAAGGAGAGTGACTGGAACCAGCACCTAGAGCTGGAGAAATGTCGGGGCGTCTTCCCCGAGAACTTCACCGAGCGGGTTCAGTGAGGGCAGCAGCTGCTGCAGCTGTCTGGGCGTGTGGAGAACACCTTTTCCCAAAAAATGTGTGTGTCTTTCTTTCTTTCTTTCTTTCTTTCTTTCTTTCTTTCTTTCTTTCTTCCTTTCTTTCTTCCTTTCCCTTTCTTTCTTTCTTTCTTTCTTTCTTTCTTTCTTTCTTTCTTTCTTCTCTCTCTCTTTTTTTTTTCCTGATTTTGTTTTTGAACTTTTGAAAAGCGAAGGGAAATCGAGAGAGAGACCTAAGCCAAGAGGTGTTCTCCCAGGGATTAGGTTGTGTTCCAAAGAGTCTGGTTTCGGCGAGTCCAGTGGCATCACCAGTGTTCTTGAAGCTGCCGTGTCCCTTAGTTGAGTTCCTGGCCGCCCCCATCTCCCACCGCGCCCGCATGTGTGCCTGGCCGTAGGGCCGGGGCCTGGGGGCCGCTGAGCCGCCTCGCTTGCCTGAAGCTTCGGGCCAAGCAGTCTGGGCAAGTGTCCTCTTTCTCCTGGCAGCTGCTGTGGGTGGGGTCGGGTCTCTCCAGAGACCTGGGGGCCCAGACATCAGGCTGGCCTGGCCCTGCCCCGCAGACCGTCTGTGTGCTGTTTGAAAATAAACCTTAGTGTTCAAAACGAAATGAAACAAACTGAACAAAAACCCTCAGAAAATGTGTGTTCGTTGTATTTGTTCTCCCTCTGTTTCTGTCTGCAGTGCAATGGAACCGTGATTATCGGTGGCTTTTTCTACTGGGACAGTCCACCCCCCTTAACCTGCTGCCAGGGCAGGTGCTGCTGGGCCGGAGGCTGCATTCTGGCTGTGGCCCCAGCAGCTACGGTGTGCCTGACAACACTTCCTTTAGAGCTCTTCTGGGTCTGGACCCTGCAGAGCGCTTCAGCCCCTGCCCCCTAGCGTTTTTAGTGGTGGTTGGTTGGGATAGAGGAGATCGGGGGCTTGAAGACTCAGTTGCCTGCCGCCTTATTTATTAATTTAATACATGTGAGAACTCGGAGGTCAGGTGCCACAGACTCCATTTCCCAGATGAGGAAACTGAGGCCCAGGGAGGTTCAGTTGCTTGCTGATCAGCAGTGGGACTAGGTTCTGAACCCGAACATTTGGCCCCGGGTGCGTGGGAAGGTCTGAGCCTGGTGGCGGTAAAGACAAGTCAGCCCACCCAACTGCTCCTTCGTGCCACCTGCCTCCCTTTCCAATAGGAAGGTCCCCATTGCATGCAGCCCTGTTCTTCAGCTCCTCGGTAGACTTGGGCTGCCCTGAGAAGCCTGTGACACATGCCTGTGGTGGCCTGGGTCCCTCCCAGCAGCCACCGGAGCTGTGCTCATGGGCCTAGGGACCAGCTGGACCTCCAGGTGCAAGGGACTTGTCTCTGCAGAAATCTGTATGGTGGTAAAAAGCCAGTGAAGGAGACAAACGTCAGAGTCTTAGATTTATTTTGGGGTAACACCCTTGAGCTGTGCTTCAGGTGGTGGCATCGTCGCTGCTGTGGCCCTGCCCCGTCTGTGGTTCACAGTGTGGGCCCTGCCAACCATAGTTTCTATGAGCACAGGGAGGCTCATTTCCTGTCAGTTACCCCCGCTTCAAAAGCTTTAGCTTTTCATTTGTTCGTCCCTTCCACATTGACAGCAATTGCTGGTGGAGCCGGGCCTGAAGCCCAGACTTGGTCAGCTCCACTGTGCTTGAGAACCTGGGGTGTGCGCCCTGGGGCCTGGGGGTGTGCCACGAGAGTCTTCATTTTTATTTCATGATGAAACACTGAAACATTATGCAGGAGAAAGCGTTTGTCTTAGGTTTATCACAACATGAGATTCATGGATGTCTCAAATGGTGGCTTTAAGCAACACCCCCTGACCCTCAAGGGGGTCCTGCCCCCTGCACCTGGGCTAAATTTGTCAGGAAAAGCCCTCCTCTGTATTACAGGGGTGGGGTCTGCAGGGAGCTCCCTGCGGGCAGTGGGAGGAAGCTGAACCTGCAGAGAGAGCTCCCAGAGGCCGGGAGCCTGGGTGCAGTGCCCCTGTCCAAGTGGGTGGGCAGTTGGCCTGAAGACTGAGCGGGGCTAAGTGGGAGCTGGGACGCTACCAGGTTTATGTCCACCTGAGAGAAATTGGAAATTCAGAGCCGAGCAGCGCACACCTTGTCGATGCTAATGGTCCCTCCCTTTCTATGCCCAAGGCCACAGACTGTGCGCACACAGTCACCAGGCTGTCTCGGAAGGCCCTGGCCCATCTCAGGGAAACCCTCCTGGATTCCTCTCCCTTCTGCCAGCTCCCAAGCCCTTCCCAGTGACTCAGACACTGGCCAGCTCTGGCTGGTCTCTTGCTTCTCATTCTTGGTTGGGTTTGGTAACCACACTGGCATTGCTTTTCTTGGTCCACTCGCCCTGACACCCTTGGTTCTGCCTCTGGGAATTTAAGTATTCGCTCCCCTAGTGTCACTCAGTCCCAAACACCAGGTCTGAACTGGGACACTGTGACAGAACATTGGGTTCATTTGCTCAGAAAGCCTCGGCCGGGTGTTCTTAGCATCCAAAGTAGGTGGGTGCCCAGGCTACAGCTCAGCCCTCCACGAAGCTTTGGGGTACCCTGTTCCCTGGGCGCTGGCTTATCTTTGGACAGGTTCCCCAACAGTTCCGGGTGTGATATCTGTGCACTGCAGTGTGCAGAAGAGACTTCCATAGAGAGGCACGAGTCTTCCTTCCCAGGAGCCCCTCAGCAAATCTCCTTTGTCTCATTGGCTTGGGTCCCCAGTGCTGAGCCAGTTTCTGTGGCTGGGGACAGGCCTCTAATTGGCCTCAAAATTACAGGTGGGAGGTGGGACTGGGTTGAGTGGAGGAGGGTGGACACCTGAACGCAAATTTGGGGCGTGGCTTCCAAGGAGAAGGGGGATGAGTTGTAAGAGCCCAAACCAGTGAATGTGCACTGCATGGTGTCTTCCAGAAAAGGCCACGAGATCAGGGAATGTGACTGGATAGAGGTTACATGTTTGTGTTTGTGAGTGTGAGTGTGTGTGTGTGTGTGTGTGTGTGTGTGAGACTTGGGAGACCCTTACTTTACTCACTCCATGCAGCCTAACTAGGGCTGACCTCAAAAGGGTCAGGTGTGACCAGGGAACATAACCCATGTGGGGATGTTCTTCCATGTTCCAGGAGGAAGTCATCTCACCCCCAGCCCAGAACTTGTCCTGCCATGGGAGATGGTGTAGACAGTGTGCAACATTCTTCAGCATATGTGGTTGTATCTATACGGGAGAGAGGTGTACAGATCCAGTCTCCTGAACATTCATTCACTTGCTCATTCATTCATTCATTCATTCACTCAGCCAATTCCCACACAGTCACTGAGATTACAGAGAAGATTCAGGTGTTATTCCCACCCTGATGCCCTCACAGTTCGCAGCAGTTGGGGAGTGGGGGCGGGGTGGGGGGGGGAAGCAGGCAAGAACAGGTAGGACCACAGCAGGGGCTGTCATGGTTGTGAGTTCAAGGCTCTGGAGACAAAAAGGAGCTAGCGCCTGGAGGCACATGGGAGGAGGAGTCTCCCCTGAGCCTGTCAAGGTGATGGGTGTCCCCAGGAGCTGATGCGAGGGAGGCTCTTCTCAGGCAGGGAGAAGCAAGTAGAAGAGGAGGCAAGTCTGGGCAAGAGGAGGGGGGTGGTTGCAGAGGCGTGTGGGGGTTCAGGCTCTCACTGGAGGGCCCGGAGCTCAGGAGAGAGGTCAAGACTGAGGGGCACTGAGGTGGAGACTGGGGCCAGGGACGAGATGAGAGCACTAGGGTGTAGGCGGGGGGGAAACGTGTGTAGAGGAGGCAGGTAGAGGGCCCCGGCAGGGGCGGGGCTGGGGTGGGGGGCTGATCACCAATGTCAGGAGGGAGGAAGAGGTTTCCAGGCGGGACTGCTGAGGAGCTGAGAAATGCTCTCCTGTAAGAAAAGCTCCTGGGGTGCCTGGGTGACTCAGTCGGTTGGGCTTCTGACTTCAGCTCAGGTCATGATCTCACAGTTTGTGGGTTTGAGCCCCTCTTTGGGCTCTGTGCTGACAGCTCAGAGCCTGGAGGCTGCTTCGGATTCTGTGTCTCCCTCTCTCTCTCTGCCCCTCCCTTGCTTGCGCTCTGTCTCTCTCTGTCTCAAAAATAAATAAAAACATTTAAAAAATTTTAAAGAGAAGCTCCTTTTTCAGCAGCCACTAATGGTCTGTGAGGCTGGGCAGGGGAAGGCAGTCAAGACAACCTGCCTGGCCGGGGCTCCCAGGAGGGGCTGCTGTGGGTCTGGTGGACACGGCAAACTACCACCAGTGGCATCCCAGGCCCCGCTCTGGCTGCGGAAGAGCAAATCGCTGAGGAAAGGTGTTTCTCAGCGTAATTAAAAAGGATAATTAACAAGCAAGGAATGCCTTCCTGACAGCCCCTGATTACAGATGAGGACCCCGGCTGAGGCGGGAGATGGGGAGACTATGCTCTCTCCCAGTCAGCCAAGGTCAACGCACAGTGGCAAAGAGGGACATCGAGTCTTGCTAAAGGAAAGGCTTTGTTGGAGTCCCAGGGCGGCCCATCCCTGGCCCCACAGCCTGTCAACCCCCAGTGTTCATCTCACATCTCCGAGGTAGCTTGCTCTGTGTGAACTGCAGGTGGCCACCAGGAAGGAGGCACAGCTCCCTTCCCAGGGAGATGAGAAGCTGAGGGTAAGCCAGGGCTCATACACAGAACCACCCAGAGCTAAGGAAAAAGGGATTCTTTCCTCTGGAAGCCTCGTGCAACACTGCCATTCTTACTTTGGCAGTTCTGGAGGGTGGGTAGCTTCTGTAGGGTGGAGTCAGGAATGGCCTGGAACTTCTGTATGGTCATCCTCATTAGGAGCCGGCGACTCCAAATCTATGGCTTCAGATGAGTGTGCTCACTCAAGCTTTGGGTGGGTGCATCTATTGCCCATCTTCTCTGGATGTGCATGGGTACCTGTGTATGTGCCTCTAAGCCGGGCTTGTCAAACCTGGGGTATCCCCTAGACATCTCCTGTGT